TTTCTGTATGGCATCTACAGTTGAATCTTTCATTAAACATTAAAACCAAAACCGACCAAAAAGATTTAAATAATGAAACTAAATTATTTTACTGAAAAGGACAGCACTGTAGCATGTCAGCTGATGCAGGTAGGTGCTCTGGATGCTGAAGTCTAGCCAAAGCTGCCTTCAGCTCATCCTTCACATCTTCCACCTCCTTAGCCAAACCGGGAAGATCTGAAAACAGATAAATCAAAAAGCAGATTTTTCTGTGTTCAGATCTTCCTGGTTTGGAAACTGAACGGATGGTGGGCCTTCAAACAGGTCTATTTGTGTGTCATCATTCTTTGGTGCTTTCTCTGGAGGTCCTGCTTTATCTGTTCATCTCTGGTATTTGTTGCAGTTTCTTTTACAGCTGATGTAGATGGCTATAGAGAATAAATATTTTAAGCAAAGGCAGGAGTGAAGAGAAATATCACAATCACAAGTTTACCTCATCATTCTATACAGTCCTACATTATAACTCTACACACGCCGTGTGAGTACATGGTGAAAATGATTATGAAATAGCCACTTACTGACTGGTAGTTAGATGTCTGACAACTCTGTCAATCAAACAAACCCCGCTGTGGAGTAGTGTACTGACGTCTGAAGTCAATATCACACAAAAGAGGGGGAAATAATGTTTTGAGGAAATCCTCATATAATAAATGCTTCAGGTCATGCATGAACAAAAAGTCATAATGTTGAGGCAGCTCAGGATGCGTAGGATTGCGGGTCTAAGTAAGTGCTGTATGTTGAATAATAATACATTAAATTATTAAATAGTTAAAAGACAAAACAACAAGCAAAATTATAACAAACAGCAGAAATAGCAAAAGAGAAAAATAAAGGAAGGGAAAAAAGATGTATTAACAACAAATATTTTTCTCGCACATATTTTCTTTTTATATTTTCTATGTATATTCAGACCACATGCATATCATAGAATCACCTCTATTAGCTATTATCTATAGCTATTATTATCTAAAAGCTCAGTCCAAGGGGAATTTGGTTTTCAATTTTTTTATGCATAACCGTTCATGTCTTTTTGTCTGGCCCCCCATCCGCATGGCACAGGTTTGGAGACCAGTGATGCAAAGCTGTTGAGCAGGGTGAATATGACAATGGTTGACCAGATGGGTGCTCAGTCTGCCCTCCTCAGTGTTACCAGAATGTGGTTAGTTTCTCTCACATAGAGACTACAGAATTGGCCCAGGTGTGGTGAGTGACTTTCTGGCTCTGGAGGATGATTCTGTCCAGAAATGGAGTAATAGCTCCCCCGTGTGGGTGAAGCCAGTACTGCTATTGTTTGAAAGCCCAGTATCCCTCCCTTTGCTTCACAACCTGTAGTCTACAGAACTACTCTGGCCAAAGCATCTTCCAAGTGTGTGCTGAAAGCAGATCATACATTTAATTGCAATTCTGAGCACCAATGTTCAAACATTCTCCTAGCAGTTTCCTGTGTCCAGTGGATGTTATCTGAGGTGGTGTGTTAAAAGGCTGTCGGGCAGCTGCCTCAGGACGGGGAACTGGCTGGAAATGAAAAGGATAATGGTTGTTAGGTTTTCCTGTTGGTCCTGTGGGAGGAGAGGTGAGTAATTAATCATAACATAAGACTGATCATACAGATGATGATCACAAAGTAGTGTGATCATATCATACAGTTACATATGGTTTATTTCAAACTACATCATTAGTATTATTCTTATTATTAGTTTATTGTATTTTTATTCCAAGTGATAGCCTAATTTATTTTCTGTTCATCTGGGCAATGGCCCAATTTATTCATTTGTTTATTGTTTTAGGTGGGAGGGGAGAACATTTTTATGTGTGAATTATGTATCATGTTTAAGAACTTTGTTCTCAAAATTTACAGTTACAGTTACAACTTTTTTGAGGATAATGCTGCATCTGCTGCATTTATTGACATAGAGGAGCCTCATTGTTTACCTTTACCTTTTTTTTCTGCTCAAGATGATTTGATTTCATCAATGAGGGTTATTTTTGACAGATTCTACCTCACCCAGTCCATTCCCCCTGTTGAAAATACCGTTAAAGAGCTAATACGTGACATAATGTGCACTTCTCTGCTTGCCAAAAACTGATTACACCATTTACCCTCATACTGAAAAATGTTTTCTTGTTCAAAATGATTGGATTTCATCAACGAGGGTTAGAATTGACAGACTCACCCAGTCCATTTCACCTGCTGAAATACCTTCAAAGGACAAAACAATACATAAAATGAACTTTTCCGACTGCCAAAAAGGGATTACAGCATCTGCCTTCATACTGATGGATGTTATCTTGTTCAAAATGATGTGATTTCATCCATGAGTGTTGTATGTGAAATATTATACCTTACCTAAAAAGTGATTGCAGCATGTATCTTCCCTGCTGTAAGGTGTTTTCTGACTCCACATGATTTGATTTCATTGATGAGGATTATATTTGTTGTGAGCGAGAGTAGTGAACTGAGCACAATCTGAGATAAAAACTCATTTCCTTCATATTCATCATGCTTGCACCCAGCCAGACAGGAAACCTCTGCCTTCTGACAGTTGAAGTGAAAAATGAGTCCGAATTTAACTTCACATCATGTTTAATAAAGATAAAACCGTGTTTTCCTTCATATTCATCATGTTTGTTGTCCTTCTGCGCAAGAACTTTGATTCTGAAACTTTCTGGAAAGAAACTACAGCTCAAATGAAGAATTAGTTTTGTTGAAGAAAATACATCTTAACATCATGCTTAACTTAATGAACTGCTGTTACTGAGAATAGCTCATTAATGAACAATTAATGCCTGATCAAATCATCTTTTCCTTCATATTCATCATGTATGTTGTCCATCTATGCCAGACATTTGATTCTGTCACAGGGGCAGCAGTCTGTGCAGGGCTGCCCTGACGTCCCTCTTCCCTATTTAGCTTTGCCAACTTTTAGAGTGGCTCTCTGCTCAGACTGAGAGTGAGCTGCTACCCGCCGTGCAGACTTGCTGTTAAAATAGATCTGTTGCATCACATCTGCGGGTTGGTGACCGTGTTAGTGCCGGAGCCTCAGTGTGAGATGCTCTGGTTGGTAAGTTTTTGTCTTTAAAACGTATTCAGCAGGCCGGCCCTGCAGCTAGCAGCTGTTAGCCTCAGAGTGGTGTGTTTTTAAAACTTATTCAGGGTTAGGGTTTCCAGCTCCACCGCTACACTTAGTTAGCATAGCTGCCGTGCTTAAACAACTTTGACATGTGGGAAAAGCAAAAGCAATACGGTAAAAGCAAAAACAAGACAGTAAAAGCGAAAAGCAATAAGTAAAAGCATTTTTCAATTGTTTTATTTATAGTATTTCTCTTATATTTCCACATTTATTTTCTTATTCTTACAGATTTATTCTTTTCCATGGCATTCCTATGACTCCATGCTCTCCTTCGTCATTCTCCTTCTCCCAACATGTCTGCAGCACCTTTGGTTTTGTTCTGACTGCTCCTAAAGACGCTCTTAGAGCATGAGCTTGCATCATATCCAGGTCTGCTCAGCAGTTTTTGCTGCTTCGTATACATTACTTTCATAGTCTAATCTCTATCTTATTAAGGTGTCATAAATATACAGTTGAGTGCAAAAGTTTGCATCTCCCTTAGACCCTGGGTGAAATGTCAAAAGGATCTGCCTCTTTTGTACAGTTCACCTTCATAATAACCATCCATAATCACTGAAAGGTTTCCCCTCTGAAAACTTTTTATGGTCTCAGTGTAAAATAACTGAATCTAGATTTATCTTAAAGAGCAAGCTCAAAGGTTTACATGTCCTTGGATAAACCCTCTAGGTTATTACAAAATCAGGTGTCAAAAAGCATTGTCAGCACTTATGTTTGATGGGTGGCAACAAGTGTGTTCAGTCAGTGTGTAGAGTGTGTGTAGATTTCCAAGAGCAGTTTGTAGCAGCAGCAACAAAAACAATGGGATCAGGGAAACAGCTGTCAGAAGACCTCAGAATGAAACTGGTAATCTTTTATAAAGCTGGAGAGGTGTTTTGTGAAGACCATCCAGAACAAACATGGGTACAAGACTCGACCAAGGAGCGAGTAGTTGAAAGAGCTGCACAGAAACTCGCTCGAGTGCTGCGTAAGAATACAAACGAACAAACATTTTAAAAAAAATCCTTAGAGGCGAATGGAAGTCCACATCCTCTTGCCTGGGTTTGCTTGTACTGAATCGTACATAGAAATAAGGTGATTAAACTAGTCAAAACTAATTTTCTATTTCTAACTGCTTCCTTACACTTCTACGGTGGCCCTGAGAGCTACATTCACTGCAACTTTAGAAAACTCATGCAAACACACAAAACACAAACAGCTTCAGAAAACATCTTCACACAACACAATGGAAGTGTTTCCAGGGGACACTAAAAAGTGATGAACCTGGCTGGGACACACCTGTTGTTCAATGCCCACCTGTGACTTTTGAGAGAGAGAGAGAGAGAGAGAGAGAGAGAGAGAGAAAGAGAGAGAATGATATGGTGCAAAGGGCCACAGGTTGGACTCAAACCCGCACCACTGCGGTTAGGATTACACCATGAGCTCTCAGGGCCACCGTACGCTTCTCATCCAACATGGTACCACACTCTTCTTTATACTTCCTTTACTTTCGGGAATGGATTCTAACACAGCTGATATTATACCTGTGTTTCTAAGTGTTTCTATGCTCATTCAATCATTAACCTGACTTTAATAGTGTATCTATCACTTTCTTCCAGAATTTTCTCCTAACCAGCTTCCTCACACATCCATTTCCTACCCGTGACCTCAGTTCATTGATGACTTGATTACATTTTATGTTTTACATCCATAACAGCAATTAACAACAGTGCAATTACCATGACAGGTCTTATTTACACCTATCCGTGGAGCCCACATTAAATGTTTTTAGACACAGTAATACAATGAGCTCATTAATAACTAATATTTTATTTTATATACTTTCTACGGATATAATTTTGTGAATGCACACAAACACATACATGCTGCACACGTCAGTTCAGAGAAACTGGCCAACATGCAAGATTTCCATCAAAAACAAAAATATACTGACAAAGCAAGAGGAACTGATGGAGGCAGAGAGGAATGTTTACTGGTTTTTGAATAAGATGGAAATGAAAAATTCATTACAGTAAAGGACAAATGTTGATGGCACACCTAAAGGGGGAGGGGCCATCATTAATCAGTTAGTTACACTTTGGCTTCTCCTTATATCTACCGTGAAAAAATAATAACTTACTATCTCAACGGCAAGGTTTCATCATTTACAGAAAAACAGCATAAAAAAGTACAGAAAAGCTTATTACAGAACATCTTCAATTGTTTCTAAAGACTAAAAATGGACATTATTTACAAGGGATGGTCATTAACTTCATCATGCCAAACAAATTCATGTCTTAGTTGTGCCTTCATTTTACATGAAACTGTCAAACATGATTTAAAAAAAAAAAAAAAAAGCTATAAAAGAAGCACAATAACTGCTTCACCTGTACTGAAACAAAAACATTTGATATCACATTTCTCAATTTCTAACTAAAAATTCATTTTATACACCCTCTTTGTTCTTTAAAATTGATCTTATAGAAACTTACAGAGGTTGAAGAATTGTTCAAAACATATTTCTTAACCCTGCTCGTCTCTGGGAAAAAAAAATCTTCATTAATAGCTTGATACAAATATAGCATGACAGCATGTGTCACTTTGCCTGTATGAAGGGTCGGAGCTAAAGTTTCAAGGTCGACGGTCGTATTCACTGATCATCCTCTTGATGTGCGACAGTTTGGACCTGAGATATTTACACCTTTTCTTCTTGATTTTGTAGTCTGGGGACTGCACAGGACAGAAAATGATTTCATTCACATCTTTGTCTATTTTTACAGGACTGTGTTTTACTGTAAAGAACACTGTGTTTCTTACCTTCTTGAGATTCTTCAGCCTGGTGTATTCATTCATTGCATCCTGAGATTAGAGAGATAGTGGTTAACGATCTGAAGTTACCACTCAGAAGAAATCACCATCCCAGATTTACAAACATTTTGTAAACATATATATATATATATGACATATGGATCATTTGCCTTTCTATGTTTTCATTACCTGACCCCTTTCCCATCTTTATCTAAACCACACTCACCAGGAACTGTGGACTGCCTGCAGGGTGTCGGGCTAGCTCTCTGTCCAGACCAGCCAGGTCTTGGTTTATTCTGTCCAGCTCAGCCTGCAGGCTCTTGTACTCCTGGTGATCCCGGTCAAACTCCCGCTTGTAGTCCAGACGTTCTTGCTCATTCACAATGGAAGGAAACAAACTGCAGATTCATGGTGTAGAAACACAAACACATCCCAGTCAGAGACAGTCATTCGTTGTATCTTTCTCATGATCATTATTATCTGGCTCTCCGTTCCCTTCAAACTCACACGCTGAAGTCCTCTTCCTCCAGGTCGTCTCCAGACTCTGCACCAGTGTCGTAGTCCTTCAGCCAGGGCTTCAAGCCTCCCACAGAGCTGCTGATGTCCGAGTCTCTGTGAAGAGAATTACTCATGTATCATTACATACATTTGTAGCAGTTTTGTGGAGTACCTCTTAACCAGGAGATTTACTCGCTTTTCAACCGTGCGTTCGCATAGACGACCTGCTGTGTTGTGAAAACCTCTAGAGGGCCACTAGAGCACTCAGATGTATAAAACTACCAGATCTGCATGATCTAAACAATAAACATGGCCACACTCAAGGAGGTTACTATTTTATATAGACAAGATTATATATAAAGCCGCTCTTCTTCTCCAGCTTCTACAGAACCAGCAGAGCAGTATGTTGAGTCCCAGATACTTTCTCCTTTAAAAAACTTTAAGACTCTGTGTCTTGAAGAATTGTCTAAGCTGGTGTTGGCTTCCAAACCCACCCCCTGTCTACTGGACTCTCTACCAGCTGGGATCTCCAAAGACCTCTGGCCAGTGTTGGAACCTTCAGTGTTGAACATTATTAATTTATCATTAGCTACTGGAACTGTCCCCAGTAGCTTTAAGACTACTGTGGTTAAACCTTTACTTAAAAAACCACAGCTTGAGCCAGAGTCCTTAAATAACTAGTGATTGCTGCAGTCTGCTGCCGTCACTGCTTTTGACTGATGCATAAAAAAATGATGTTATCGTGGTGAAAGCACGGGACCTGAACATCTAAGAGAAAATGTAGGTATAAAAGTATTAGTATTAGTCACATTAAACATCGATATCTTGCCACACAGTGGCGCCATCACACCAGTTTTTGACTATGTGAAGCATTGCATCATGGGCCACCTGTCTGTCAAATTCCATGTCGACAGCTTTAACAGTGTTTGAGATATTAATGATTTTGTAGTCTCCTCAAATAGAAATGGGAACTCAATAATTACAAACAATATCACCAAGTTGTTTACAAGTTAATATGTGCGTTCACAAGTGCTGCACAAGTTCGTGTTTGGGAAAGAACTGTAAACTGAAAACTCAAACTGAAGACTACAATCAATGTTAGGCACTTATGAGGTGTACTATATGATGCATATCTTACCCTGGCAGGTAAAGAGGCTTGCTGTGGTCCAGTCTGTCCAGATAGTCTTTGGACCCCCCCACTTTGTCATTATAGTCGCTCACCAGTACCTCTGGGTTACCAGACACATTGGTCACCTGAAGCAGCAGACAAGATCCGACATTTATCATCAGAGTTTAGTAGATACACAGTATAGATCAGTTGTTCATGAACAGTCACTTCTTTCTGTCTGAACACATGAGGCAGTAGCTCCTCCCCCACACAGACCTGACTGGTCCAAACCACTATGAACGGCTTGGAGCCTGGTGAGACGGACTCTCTCGCTGCCTTGCAAGATTAGCTGGACATAAACTCTATATCCAGTGTTTTTGGAGCTTGAGTCATAATAAAGACTGAAAATCAGGATGTGATATATTGGCTTCAGCTGCCTCATTTTTGAAATTCTAATATATTTGTTAAGTTAGAACTTTTGTGATCTCTTGATTAGAATTTAAAAAAAAAAAAGTTTCAGGGATCTGAACAACACTTGGCACTTTAAGATGTTAAACTTAATTGGATTTAATGTTGATTGTCCAATTCGAAACTGTACATACAGTGTTAACACATAGAATGTAAGTACATAGCCTGCAGCTGAGCCTTTTAAACAAGTCCTCAGGCCTTCTCCAACTTTGTGATGTCACAACTATACAGTCATCACCCTCAGCCATGCCCCCAGGTTAGGGTTAGAAGAGAGGCTCATTAGACGGCTACAAAACACCCTGTTCATGCTGGAGAGAGTGAGTGAGAGAGGAGATGTAAAACTACATTGAGATGGTATTTGATTCTTAAAATCACAAATATATCTTCTTATGGATCAACACTAAAACAGAGCAGAAAAATATGGAGCTTTAATCAAAGTGCAACACTAAATCACTAAAGTACTCCACTAAGTCTGTGTCTGACATTTGATGAACAGCTGTTGGAAATGATCACCATGTCATCAGCTAGCCAAGCAATGTCACTTCAGCTTGTTTAATTCTGTTTCACAGACACTTCATCATCACAAAGTCTGCAGCATTTCAATAACTGCACACTCCATGTTCCGCCTTTGTCCTCCCTTCATCGGATTGGAATCAATCAATCAATCAATCAATCAATCAATCGATATGGCACTTCAGATTTTGGTTAATACTTGACCCAACTGGTGAAATTCTGTCCCCTGGGTTTGAGGCCCTCTGTGAGCCAGGCTCAAAATGTTTCTGTTTTTATATTCTATATTTATATTCATTTACACACCATTTGGAGTTATGAGACCAATTTGCGTGTGTCTGGCTCGCTCCAGCTCTCTGCAAATTGAGCAAAGGCTTAAGATGGCACATACTGATGAAGAGGCCTCACCAACTTTCATCAATCAATCAATATGGCACTTTAGAATTTCATTAACACTTGCCTCCAGAACATGTGTACCAATTTTGGTGAAAATCTGTTCACCAGATTTTGAGGTACGTACTGTATTTTTGGTATTTATGGTGCCCCCTAGAGGTCAGGCTCAAAATGCTTTGGCTTTTGATGTTGCTAAACTTAAAATTCTGAAAAAGTTCTAATAATTTCACTGTTTTTCAAATTATGCAAATTAGAAAAAAAAAAAATCTATCCAGACGCACTTTAATGGTCCAGGAGGCTTTTTCAGCATGTTTTTTTCTCTTGCCTCAGGTTTTGGTCAGGTTCTCCTACAGCTCCTCTCACATTTGCCCTTGTTTAGACTATCACAACCTGTTCTTACCATATGATAAACACTGGTAGTGTGAGCTATTCACAAGGACCAACCGGTTCCTCTACTTCTGCCTGCATTGCTAAATACCACCGATACCATCAACAGGAAGCCTGAAACTATGTCTCTCAACCAGTACAACTGCAGAGACATCAGGTCTGAACGCAGTGCTGGGAAAGAATGAAAACTGTGCTGTATGGATGTTTTCAGTATAACACTGTCAATGCAAACCATGATGATGTCATCACTGGAAAGAACACTTAGACTTTAATGATTAATGAAGTCTAAGTCTAACGATCTTTCGTGCCTCCGCTCATTAGCATTTCAAAGTGTTGTGTTTATAGATGTTGTATGTTCTGATACATATTTGGATACATTTTTATTTTGAAAAGACATCATCATGACATCACAGCACATCATGCTACAGCTACAAGTGGCTGACCAGACCACACCCAGAAACTAGAAATGAAACCATCCTACTATTCCCCATGGCTCACCTGACACACACACACCCACACACACACACACACACACACACACACACACACACTTTCTTAAAGAATGCAACTGAACAGAGTAGGTTAGACTGTTCACCCAGTTAACTCATTGCCTCCAGGTAACCCTACGTGTATTTAAGGCTCCATGGAAGGTTTTAGAAAGGTTGTTCCAATTACCTCATTTTACTTACGCGCACACAAGACCCACAAGAGGGACAGACACCAAAAAGCCCATATATATGTGTATATATATATATATATATATATATATATACTGTACTGTATATATATATATATACTGTATATATACACACACACACACACATACACACATATATATTCACTTGGATGGGAAAGTCTATCTAAATTTTTTGACTGGTCCTGTGCACACACACAGACTCACCCACTCCCCGACACTGGTGTGTAGACCATCACTGATGACTTTCACTTCCTCCCAGAGAACGCGGTCCTGGCCCCACCTCCTGATCTTCGAGCGGGTCTTGACTGCGAACACCAGCAGGATGATGAGGGCAAGAAACACCAAGAACCCCAGGACAATAGCAATGGCCTGCAAGAACCACAGGGCTTGATATCAGTGGGGTGAAATTAAATTCACTAACATGGATTTGAATACCTGAAGGTGATTTGTACTGACATGGTCGTCTAAGACATTCACAGTTACCCAGATCTGGTCAGTTAGTATAATAAAATTTTTCTGTGAATCTGCACAATGAAATCTAAAGGTTGGCTGCACCTTACATGAAAGTGTAAAATACTTAGTGATAGATGAATAGTTGCACTCCAAAAAACATCCGTCTGAACAACGATGTTGTCGTTGTTTTAGGCATTTTCGAGAAAAAACTGAAAGATGCTTGATTGTAGCAGCACCAGTATCAATAGTTGAGTTAGTGGTGAAAAGGAGAGAAACAGTTTTCTCCTACAGGAAGACGTTTTGCTTGTGTGAGCCATTTTTTTTTTTTTTTAATTCATAAAAACACAGAAAATGAGGCTACGATAAACAAGATGAACATTTTGCAGTGTTTGCTCTCTTGGCACCGCTCTATTCTTTTAAACTGTTTTTCAGCTCTTTTAAAATAATAGTTTCATTTTCACAGTCATCCTTGGCTGTCGGGGGGGGGAAGTTACTGCTGACTATATGGCTACAACTGAATAACGTATGCTGTGGTTATTTGTGGACAAAAATCACTTGAGTCGTTATGGGATTCCTAATGCACTACGCCCTGACCCACAGAACCCAAACACTGCCTCCCAAACCCAAGCATGGCACACCTCTTGGGGTTCCACCACACAGTAATGGTACAGGTATTGGTTGAGGAAGATGCCCTGGGCCTGGTCCTGCGTCTGGTACTGGGCACACAGCTGGCGGATCTGGCTGTAGTAGACGGACCCTGTGGACTGAGCTGTCGGGTTCACCGCCACCAGGTACACAATGGTGGCAATGATCATGAGGAATGCTAAGATGGCACAGATGATGATGGTTGCCAAGTAGAACTTTGGTGAGCGGGCAGTATTTTGTTTCGACACAACCAACACAAATATGATGAGCACTGCGATGAAGGTGATGGCTGAAATGGCAATGATGAAGCCTTTGCCAGCTCTTGGGTCCATCTGCACTTGCCCGTAGCCATAGGATCCGCCACCGCCAATGCCGCCTCCATACAAGCCGGAGCCATAACTGCCGCCGTAACTGCCGCCGCCGTAACTGCCACCGCCATAGGAGCCACCGTACGAGCCGCCGTAACCCGGCACCAAGCCAGCTCCACCTCCCAGACCCATGAGGCTCATATCGTAGTCCCATGCCAGCGTGGAGGCCACACAGGCGAACACAGCCACGCACATGACAATGATGATGATACACAATATCTTCATCACACCCGGCTCTGAAGTCCAGCTGTAGAAGTGCAGCATCTTGTCTGCTGGGTAGTAGGAATAGGCCGGGTTGGACATGAACTCACTGTGCCTGTGTCTGCTGCTGTGGCTGCAACAGAAGACGACAGAGGGACTGTGGTCAGTGTGTGATGTCACATGACAGAGTGACCTGTGACCTCCTCGCTGATGCTGCGCCAGTTATGCCAGAGTACATAAGTCACGTGTAGTGCATGTCTTACTAATAATGAAACCTTTCGTTTTTGGAGTAATCTACTTTTAATTGATATTTTATTACAGTTTTTGTGATTGTTTACGCACTAAAAGTGAACGCTTAGACCAATGCATCACAACATTAACTTTTGTAATCAAGCCTTAAAACCAAAAGTCCAAACGCATTTTCTACTTTACACTTTGTTTTCAGTTCTACAACAAACACTTGCAAAAACACTACACACTCTTTCTTACATTAGACACTTTGTTCAAGACTTAAATCTTACCATCACAGGGTAATACTTCTTTTTCAAACTGCAAAACATGCCTGAATTTTGCGACACACACATACACACCTAAAAACTTAAGCGGAAATTGAACACCACTCAGTCTGAGCCTTAGTGCTGCATGTAGAGCTTAGGTGAGCTTCTGTGAGAACTTTGAAAACATGGAAGCAGTGAGAGCGAGAGGAAGAGGAAGACAGAGAGGAGGTGGAGGATGAGGGCAAGAACAAAGAAGACCTTGAAATAGACACATATTTCAGATGACATCAGGGCCACTTTGCTGAACTATGTCAAAACTCATAATGAGGAAGGCTGGGCAGAGAGTCCAGCCCAACCTCTCCGCCAAATTACAGACACTGAGACCGAACAAAGTTGTGACAAAGCTCAAACCAGTTGCTTCAGTGTGTGCACTGAAATGAAACAATGTAACATCAATCAAAAGTATATCTGCAGGTATGTTAGGACTGAATGTGTATACGTGTGTGAGGCTGAGACATGAGGGACAGATGTAGGTCAACTCACTGTTTGCTACCACTGGAGTGGTGTGGCGGGGGGTTGGGTTTTCTGCCCGGCATACTGAATCCAGCTGGTACTGTCCCTGCTAGAAAAAAAAAATAATGATTTTACTGATTTTGCAGACACATAAAAAAGAGGCTTCTGTACAATGTTAATTATGTTAACAATCAATATCACTGTCAGATGAACAATCTTCTAATAATTAGTAAAAAACAGAAACATCTTACTTAAGGAATACCTTACGAAACAATAAACAAGCAAGACTGATATCTGAGCAGGGGTCTATTCCAGAGAGCGGGTTTAATGAAAACTCTGAGTTTCTTAGCACTGAGATGAGGGAAACTCTGAGTTTTCCATTCCAGAAAATGAAATCCCTTTAACTCTGAGTCAGTTACCATGGTAACTTACTCTGTGAAGCTAACCTGATCGCTGGCAGGTTTTCTTCAACAAACCCTTCTGACCAGAAGCATCATTTCCTCTTCATACCGTCTACGTCAAAGTGCAGATCAGAGACATTCATGTAAAGAAGTTCATGTGGGAGAAGATTAAAATCCCGATTGGTCCTTAGTTTGTTAGGCTACCCAAGACCTGTGTTTACGAACATGAGCTCTTTTCTGGTCAATCAGTCAGTGTGAGGACAGAGACAGAGATCTCATATGTTACACATGGAGGCTTCATCCTCACATCAAATCTTTCTAACTCTGAGACTCTGTGGACATTAAGACACCTGTCAGACTGGCATCAGTTCCTCTGCACCGAAACATTCATCACTGTAAAAAAAAGCTTTAGACACACATGACTCTGGTCTATGAAGAATTATTTCTCATGTTCTGATTGGTCGCACTGATGAACAGTCCTATCACAGCTGTCATATTACGCTGTAGATGATGATACTTCTGAGTGAGGATGACAGTAATGCAGCTGAAAATACTTTTTTTTAAAATACATTTTAAAAACTCGACTAAATGTAGTTTAAATGTCAGGTTTTGAATACAGGCTGCACATAGTCTGAAACTGTTTTAACAGCATTTCAGTCAATGTATATAAATTTACTACATGTTCAAATACAGTCATTGATGCTGTTGAGCAAGATTTATTTTTAAATCAGAAAATTTACACTCAGCTTTAACCACGACTCTTTTTCAACTGAAAATCACCAAAATCATGAAGCTGTTCCTGGGTCAGAATCTAAGGTTACAATCATAAATCTATAAACTTGTGTCTGATCTGTTTCATCTATATCTATAAACTTGTGTCTGATCTGTTTCATCTATAGCTATAAACTTGTGTCTGATTTGTTTCATCTATATCTATAAACTTGTGTCTGATCTGTTTCATCTATATCTATAAACTTGTGTCTGATCTGTTTCATCTATATCTTCGTCCTCTGCTGCAGCAGAACTGGCTCCACATCAGGTTACATGTGAACATTTAATCTAACAAACAGCAGGTTCCAGCTGTTACACAAATAAAAGTCTGATAAAGAACGTGGTCTAGTGGACGACGCTGAATAATCTGTAACAGTTTGAACTAATTGACTCTTTCCTCCAGCTCAGACTCTTTCACTGCTGCTGCTGTTTTTAAAAGGTAAATGTGCTTTAATGTCACACATGAATCTTTCTGGCTCCACTGGCTTAAAATGGAGGCTCTGCTCTACCTGTTGCCATGGTGAATCGTTGAATCAGAGATCCATTGATTGATGGCTTTTTATATTCCTCATGCACACGGTTAACTCAGGTGAACATACTCAGAGTTGATTGAACTGACTCAGATCAGCTGTTCTGGAGCTGAAAACTCAGAGTTTCCCGTCGCAGGGTTCATCAACTCAGAGTTCAGGGTTCCAGTCAGAGTTTGTTAAACCTGCTTTCTGGAATAGACCCCAGGTAATTAAGGTTAGTATTATATTTATGTGTGGTAAGTAAACTAGTAAAGTATTGAATGCAAATTGCATATGGAGCATGATGGACAGCTCAAATGGTGAGCTACCTCAGTGAGCTCATGTCCAGATAGTGAGCAGCAGAAGACAGGAGCTCCTGCCTGGACTGGAGCTTTGTTTGTGGTGAAACAAAGCAGCGGTGAGAGGGTGGAGTTACACTGACTCCTCAGGGCTAAGTCACTCAACTAGTTCATATGATAGTTTCTATTTACATTCCAAACCGTTCAACTTATGGAGGAAATTTCACACCAGGAAAATGCCAACGCCAATCAAACTTAAATGATTCAAATTTTCAAGGCAAAAAATAAATAAAAACATGATATAAAAATATTATTTCAGGATGTGATTGGAGTAAAGATGAGAAAGTAAAGAAAAACCGCTCAAATCTAAGAACACAAAATGGAGCCAAACCGTCCACAAACAAAAATGGCGACATGAAACTATATTTTGTCACCAATTCTAGACTACTGTTAAAACACTTTAAAACTTTAAAGTGTGTAAATCCTCAGCACAGAGTTAATCATCTCATGTCACATCCCGCCCTCAGACCCTGGTTATTGGTTTAATGGACCCACCTCTGTGATGAACCGTCTGATCCTGATGAGACCGGCAGCGACTCTGCTCATCAACAAAACACATTAGGCGCGCCGCCGCATCATCCAGACCGCGCACTCAGCAGCAGAAAAAGACTCGCCTACAGGTGTGTGCTCTTCATGTTGCCCCTCCCCTGGTCATACGGGTCTAACCTGTCCTGCTATTCATCAAAACGACTAAAACAGACCTTATGTGAGCTTATTCTACCTTCTTCCACTATCAGCTCCTTTGTTTTCGATGTAGCCTATATAAAACGAATTGGACAGATCGTAAGAAATCCCATTTATTTATTTAAAATTAATTTCAAAACTAAATTATTTTACAAAATACAAATGCTGAAGTGAAAGTAAAAGGGCAAATTTTGAGTATGAGAGTTTCTATGAAAGACAAATCCAGTCCACCAGGCTTTACACAAGCAGAGCCAGAGGATGACAGTTGTTTATTGACTGTTCACGTTCTCCAGTTCACCCAGGTCATTTGAAACTGAAACCTCGAGTGAACCCTTGGATTTGATCATAGGTGCTTGTTGGTGCATGCTCCTCTTCACTCCATACATAGTGCTGTATGTCCTTCCCAAACAATACAACTTCAGTTTCATCAGTCCACACAACATTTTCCATGTCTACTCCGTGTCTGTGGTACAAGCTCAGCTTTTTTTATCACACCCTCCAAGAAGCTAGTGGATTCTTTGGAAACTCCTTGTTCCTTTTGAACTTCCATTTCAAGGATTCAGTTCTTTGCTCTGCAAGTCAATGATGATGATTCATCTTGAGATTCAGCTGTTTGAATGGGAGCGCAAACTGATAGCGCTGATCTATGACTTCAGCTGAGTCTGACATGAACTGTTCATCTTGCACTGACATCTCTTTCCTTCCATCATATTGTTTCTCAGGAAAGTCATGAATATATCTTAGACTTGGATATACCATAGACTCATTCAGTTATTTCACTGAAATTCAACAGTCTCCACTTCACAAACAGCCTCATAGTTTTATCTACTGACAACCTATGGCTGTTTAGACAGGGACCTCCACATTGACTGTTTACGATGACATCAGCTGTGGTGCATCCTCCAATGAGTCATCCTACTTCCCAGTCAGTTTTTAGCAGCTTGACTTATGTCGAATAGTCCCACAGTTCTACATATCATAAAACTCTTTACCATTAATGCTTCTAACTTCAACATCTTTGACAACTGAAGATCTTGAGTCTTCTGAGTTCTCTTTTTTGCAATACACAGTTCACATCAGCAGATGCTTCGTGTGACGCGTCCTATGCTGATGTGGTGGACATTGTATGACTGTATAAGATAGCAGCAGTTAAAAATATATTAAACGGGGTGTCGAGTAGCTCAGTTGGTTGAGCAGCAGAGGCTAAGGTCCTCGCTGCAGTCGGCCCCGGTTCGAGTCCCGCATCGGACAGCCCTTTACTGCATGTCATTCCCCCTCTCTCTGCCTCCCCATCTCCTGTCTCTCTACTGCACTGTCAATAAAGGCATAAGAGGCCCAAAAAAAATAATTAAAGAAAAAATATATATATAGTAAACGTAGATAAAAAAAAAGTACAGTTGATATATTCAGTCACAACTATACTTTTACTATATTTTTATCAACATCAGCACTTTATTACCAAAATTGACATATTGCACTACTTGTTGTGCCCTAGTCTACTATTATGTCCACTCTGTCAATATGTTTGTGTTTGTATATTTATATTTTATATTTATGATTTTCTTTATATATGACTGCACATTGAGCCAGGAGAAAACACAATGTTGTTCTGCTGTGCACCTCTGTTGTATGGTCTGAATGACAATAAAGTTCATTGTGACATTTTGACACCTTGAACAGCGATCTCAAGAGGTTGTGTTTTATATAAATCAGGGTAGCTCTAACTCACACCTCCAACCTGCTTTCATTGACTGAAATCCAGGTGTGCCAGCTCTTGTCATTAGCCGAAGGGTTCAAATTTCCAGCCTACGCTATGAATGTTTGATGTGTTCAACATGGACAAAATCAATACAATGATTTGTGTCTTATAAGTTAAATAGATGATGTTTGTTCTTTATTGTAACTTTGATGAAGATCTGAATCTGTGTTCTCTTACTTTTTCTTGCCACTGTTACTGTAGATCAAGAAAAAAAATTACCCATTTGCTCTGGCAAACTCATATTTCTACATGTATCTAGGATAAACAAGGCTAAATATACCAGCATTAACAAGAAATAAATCACACTATCAATTATGAACATGTAACCTCTGTCTGGTTTTGCAGTTTTATAGTAGTCTTAACTTCACTGGAAACCCTCACTCATTGCCACTGACATGACATAACTGAGCTTGGGCAGCTGTGTAAGGTAGATGTAACAGAGATCACAAAAAACAGTACATAATCTCCATGGCTAAAATAAAACGAAAAAGGCAAAACACATAAAAAGGTACTTCATTGACATGAAGCATTGGGACATAGCTAATACAATACAAAAGAACGGTGTACACATATCAATCAAACATATCAATGTACAAATAAAAGCTTACAAATGGAGTGACAAACTAATTACAAAACACCAATTTGTTATATTCCACTTTATCATTCAGTGACAGAGAGACAGTTCATATTCTACTACTACTACTACTACATGTGTGTGTGTGTGTGTGTGTGTGTGTGTGTGTGTGTGTGTGTGTGTGTGTGTGTGTGTATATAATACATTAAAGCAATGTGGAGTGTAGCACCACTGTATGAAACATACTGTACAGTAGATAGAGGTATATTGTATCTTCCTACTGAACAAAAGGAAAGGTGTCTGCTGCAGTGTCTATTATCATATACAACAGCCTTTATTAACATTGAGTCAGCCTGATCTACATCAAGATCATTTCATTGATCTTTTCAGGCAGTGTCTAGTATGATTAGTTCTGGTTTATTTCATATGTGTCTGATGAGGTGTACATAAGTGCCCATAGCAACATCCACAGAGGGGCTGTGGCCTCTTTTGATGGAGCTGGTCTCGCAGTTTCTCTCTGCTTCCAATCTGTGTTGCTAAGCTAGGCTAAACACATTCCAGAGTGGAGACACATCCCCTAGGGCAAATTCATGTGTCCATTAGTTTATTGGTGTTAATAATAAAATAAACAATAACAGTTCAATTAGTCCACTTCCTCTGGCTGAGGTGTTGTATAGCCTGATGGCAGTAGGAACAAAGGATCTCCTGAACCTCTCTGTTCTGCAGCCCAGTGAGATGAGATGTTGGCTGCAGCTGTAGATGGCCTCCATCTTACATTGCATGCATCTCAGTCCTGAGTGAGTCCAGACTCCTGCCAAGCACAGACCCAGCCTTTTTGACCAGTGTGTCTCGTGTTCATGTCTGACATGCTGCTGCCCCAGCAGACTGCGGCATAAAAAAGTTCACCGGCCACCACTGACTGATAAAACATGTGCAGCATTTCACTGCAGACGTCAAAGGACCTGAGCCTCCTGAGGAAAAATGACCATCTCCTTGGTCTTGAGGTGTTCAGAAGGAGGCAGTTCTTGTCACCGAGTATTTGTGGATGTGGCAGGACTCAGAGTTGTATTTAAAGTCTGTCGTATACAGGGTGAACAGGAACGGAGCCAGAACAGTCCCCTGTGGAGCCCCAGTGCTGCTCATCACTGTCCCTGAGACAGTTATCCAACCAGACGTACTGTGGTCTCACCTCCTCCGCTGTAAAGGACAGGAGACTTGACCTCAGTGTGGAGGGAGGTGCAGCTGCAGTGTCAGGTTGTGGAGGAGATGCTGCAGGAGAAGCTGCAGCTGAAGCAGTGGGAGAGAGAACAGGTGAGGCTGTGTCACACCTGTTGTAGAACAGGTTGAACTCATTGGTCTTGTCCACATCACCAGATGTTGCCTGGCTGTTCTTCTCTTTATAGCCAGTGATTGTCCTCATCCCCTTCCACACCTCTCTGGTGTTGTTGTGCTCAATGTTACAATGATCATTATTATTTAACAGCAGTGATGTGTGTGCACCTGTCTTAATGTCATAATGGTACATCTACAATCAGAGGACAGTCAGACCTTTGCCTGGTAGGGAGATACTTTCACAGTTCACTTCTCACATCAGTCTCACACAGTCTCACAGTCTGTGCAAAGGAGCATGTTTTCCTTTGTAGACTGCATATGGAATCCAGGTGTGTTCATGGAAGTGTTTAGTTGCTGTTGGTCTGGTTCATGTTGTACTCCTGAATCTTCTGTTTGATATGAGAGAGCTTGTTCTTCAGGTACTCACACCTCTCCCTTTTTTCCAAATATGTCGGGTCCTGACAAGAAAAAGAAATAAAGAAGTAAATAAGTATAAAATAAATACATAAATTTCTCTCCGACTGATGAAATTCCTCTACGTCAGAGGACAGTCTTCATGATGGTCAGAGAATTTCACTGGTGGGTTACTGTATGGAGAATACAGTAACAGAAAGTTCAGTACAATCTCCTTGCTCTACCCCTCCTGTACCCGTTCCTTTGCCTGCCACAGTCTAATCCGTCCGGGAAAATAAACCAAAAATATTTTGACACTTTTACACTGTTTCCATTGTTTCATTGTAGAGCGCATTGATTAGCTCAGTCACAGTCACAATATGTAATCAACTGTCAGCGAGCTGATCTGAGCCCAGTTCAACAGCCGTGTGTGAAATGTTGCTACATAGTCAGTAGTCTGTCTATGCCATATAAAGTCCAACTTATAGTCCAGTAAGCATTAACATTAACCATCAGGATAGACAGGGTAGCAGGTCTTTAGCCATTAGACCATCCTGGATAAAGATTTAAAGATTGCCGACTGGTGCCGTATCTTAGTAGTAGAAGTAAGTCAGTCAGTCCTACATTCATGACAAGTATCTAAATGTGTCAAATTTGTGGAAAGCTCCTTAAACAATATCTAGCATCATATTCATGAGCTTCATGTATTTACTTCTACCACTAAGTTGTTCACTATAGTGAGTATTAAATGAAGATAGTGAGGTTAAAAAATGTGGGTATTTATTTGTACCACCACAGTTTATTAAACCTGTAGTTGATCACAGTTGCTCACCTGTGTTACATTCTACTTCCCTTCTTATTAAGCAAGAGGAACAAACAACAAATTGTCTCCTGATAGTTTCTGTGGACTGATGATAATGCGGTCACATTCTCCAGGTGTGACTCACAGGTGACAACATGGAGGATTCCTGTCTTGACTCAAACACTCAGGTACTGTGACCTGCTTTTGGTTGATGAATTACCCGATGAACCTCTTTTACTCTAAAGGCTTTTGTTAGGATGACTCAGTGGCTACTAGCTTCTTGTGACCTGCCAGCTCCCTGCCATCGAGCAAGCCTTCTGATGAATCCTGCCAGGTGTGTCCCAAAACTTTACACTAACAAAGGTATCATCTTCAAGAATACAAGACAAGAATGTCTGTCTCTGTACTCAGATTTACATCAGATGTCAAACATCTTCCAGACTGATTCATTTTTTTAATTTTTAATTGTTTTCTACTGACACTAACACTCCTCATACCACATACAGTATGACTTTAGCACCTGACTCTATAATAACTGACAGTTCTGACAATAATAATTGATTTGGCCATATTGCTTTTGAATTGAGATCTTGGATGCAAAGGGAGGTGGTCCAAGTCAAAATAAAGTCTGTTTGGGTGTCTTTTTGTTGCACAGGGGCAGCGAGGGCTATCAAGGGTTTATAGAAGGGACCTTAAAGGATAATTCCAGTTTATTTCAACCTGTCATACTAACTTCACGCTCACCACATCACTGTAGAGATTCAGGGACACGAGGACTCGTAGCCTGAGCCTCCTACAGCTTCCCACATAAACATGATTATCATTTTTACATGAATCATTTCAAACACTTGTTTTGAAGCCATTATGCAAACATCCAGCTGATCTGATCACCATTCAGAGCTACTCTCAGATGTCTCATTCTTTTTAAGTTTTGGATATTTTTACCCTGGGATAATCAACCAACTAAATATATTCTTTTATTTTTGAACGTGTCTTTTTTGACTTTGGACTAAACAGGCTGTGTGAGATGTGTTCACATCCAGTGGTGGTATCTGGGCAGATGGTGCACGATGCAGGATAGAAATGTCATCGACATCAACCAATTACCTGCTCCATTCATGCTCAGTCAGACACCACATGGACTTTGTACCGAGGATGTGGCAGGGGAAAATCAGTTTCATGTTAATGTCAACTGATGCAGACATTTGAGTTCACACACACAGCCCCTCTTGGTAATGTCTAGAAAAGTGCAAATAGCCACAATAGGCACATTTGTGGGAAATATGCTAGGTTGAAATAAATCAAGATTATCCTTTAATCAGAGTATGAACTCTCTGGCACAGAAACAGAAGCTCATCATAAATACTTACAGCTTTCTTCCTCTGATATTCCATTAAAATGCCACTGATCCGCTCCTTCTCCTGTAAAAAAAAAACCCCAGCATGTTACTGGACATAGTTATGCACTCTGTATTAAAGTATATCACTGTTTGTTTGTGTGGAGCTGAGTGAGATTCTTACCATTTGGCTGGAGGGCCGGGAGGAAAGGTTCTGCATCATCTCGTCCATCTCTTCAAACTTGCTGGCCATAGCCTGAACCTCAGAGTGCAGCTCCTTGTACTCAGCGTACTGGTCGTTGAACACAGCCTTGTACTGGTCCCTCTCCTCCTCTGAGTGGATGCTGGGGTATTTCCTGTGGAAACGGCACAGAAGACAACACATGGGCTGGCAGCTCCGTTACACCGCAACAGAATGTGTCTCATATTGAGCCGTCCATGTAACAACTACTGCTGTGAATATTTGTGTTTTCCCTGAGTTTGCTTAAAATGGATTCATGGACAGGTTCACAATTCTGTCTGGGCCAAACCGGGGGGTGAGCAGGGGGGGGTACCCTCCGACAGCCAGCTTCCAAAAGAAGTGCCAGGAACAGGGGAACTGGTTAGATACAGATACAGATACAGATACAGAGAGGTGCTTGAACAAAAACCTGCCCCATAGTGAACATGACCTGACCTGACATGACCGTGGAGAGACCTGAAGGTGACAGTTCACAGACGCTTCCTGTCCAATCTGACAGAGCCTGAGAGGATCTGTCAGGAAGAATGAGACTGTGGCAGCTGGAGCAGCTTGTAGAGTTTTCAATAAGAAGACTCGGAGCTGTGATTGCTGCTTCCACAAAGTACTGAATTAAAGGTCTGAAGACTTAAATCCTTTTGATTTTGAAGTCGGGGAACACAATGGAGCGTTACAACAAAATCAGTAACTTCAATCAAGGATGTTTTTCAGAACCTTCCTACCAGAATTCATATGAATGTCAAACAGGAACGTGAAATTTAACATGAACATAATACTCACGCCACATAATCTGCTATAACAACAGGTTTGGGGATGTGTCCGGCTGGTATGTGGCCTTGGCGGATCTCTGGCGCCAGCACCATCAGAGGAGCAGGTGCAGAGTTGTTGGGGTTATCCATGATGTCCGGCTGGACGGTGGGGAGAGGAGTCTGCTCTGAGGCCCTGGAGGCTGAACCCAGCTACAGCAGATGAAAAAGTCATGTGGTCACTTCCTCTACACTCTCTGCAATTCAGTGACTACAAGGAGATGAAGAAGTGATGCCTGATACTTACTATAGAAAGAGGGACTGATGATCCACTAGTTTTCATCTGGGTTTATTGAGATGGGAAGAGGAGATGGAGAGTGAGTCCTTACATGTTCACAGTGCTCACAAACAATCCAGTGATGATTGTTATAGACCAGTTACTAGTAGGGCTGCACGCTATTGCAAAAAAAATATATGTTATGTTATGTTATGTTATATGTTTCTCCTGTTCCTCACTCATTTTTGGGTTGTGGTCCATGACTAGTGGGGGCGTGGCCTTCTTTGATTGTTTGATAAGCTTATCAAGAATGACTGTGATTGGTGGTTGGTGGTTGGCCTGTATGTCACTCACTAGCAACAAAACTGTGCTGATGTTGTGTCAGACTCTCGGCCATGTGACAGTGACAACCGTGAGAGTTTTCCTTTTGTATCAGGCAGCAAAAAAACTGAGACATGACATGTTTGAGTTCATTTGCCACATCTTGCGATATGAGTATGTGGCATCTTCACATCGCCATGACAATACTGAAAAATATTGTGCAGCCCTACTCACCACCGGTCATTAGACTTTGTCTGTAAAGCAACTGTGTGCAAGGCAATTTTTAATACTTACTGACGTAAACCAGTCGCTGACTAGAAGGTAGTAAAAAATCAATATCTAAAATCTTTGGTATGTTTCAGAAAATGGTCAAAAACATGAAAAATTAACATGCATGATTCAACCCTGCAGCAGTCTTTGAGACAAGTAGACACATATTATTTTAATATTCTTTTGTGTACGGGTTCTTCTCTGTCTTCAGCTGGTTCTGTAGTAATTCATCACATTCTTCTGTTACACACAGTGTCATCTGAGGCTGTATGCACCTCAGTGTAAAGCACACTGAGATTCCTCATAATGAAATTTACTGTAGCATATTATCAAAACTACCTTGTGTTAGAGTGTAGAGAATTTGAAAAGGTGTCAGGAGGATGAATGTCTGTGGTTTTCTCTCAGTGAGGCTGCTTTAAATCTTTCTTTTGTTTAGTTAAATACAGTTCAGTGAACTGTCCCTGACACTGCTCTGTGTGTTCAGTAGATTAACACCAGTGAGATTGTATTCCCAGGGAGGGGCAGTTTACACTGGGTCTGCAGCTGAGACCAGGCAGTCACATTAAACTGTCAATCATTCCTTCAGGTTTACAAAGAGACATGTTGGTGTGATGCTGTAATTGTTCATGTTGTCAGGTTGTATTGTCAGATTCAGAACGCTACATGTTAAAGCTACACTATGTAACTTTTTCTAGTATTTTATTTCTAATAATTTGAAATAAAATATTTCAAAATATTGTCAATGGTTTTTGTGACGCAGACTCATTCAACAGCCTGACAGCAATGCAAGCTGCCCCCTTCCAACAATCAGACTGTTCATCAATCTGGTCTACTACTCCTCTCGCCACGAGACTTGACGCTAGTGTTAGCTGCTGAAAAACATGACTGTGGCTGAGTCGGGCGAGCGAGCTCTCTATTTGTGTCTTTTAAAATGTCAAGTACATGTTGAACACATATCTTACCACCTGCAAATATGTACTTATGGAGCATTGTGTAGCTGATCAAAGAGAGGGAGGGGTGGGAGGAGCGGAGTGGTATTGTCATGTTAAAAGTGAAATAAAGAAATTAAAAATTAAAAATGAATCTCATGCTCCTATTTTTCTTAAAACTCATATCTAAAAAGTACAGCCCAGATGCAACAATAACTTCTGGCCCCATCTGGTCTGGTTTGAGATCACTTAACTTAAACAGCGAGAAAGTCTTCAGCGTTAACTGTATGCAGTCAGCAGTAAGCTGTTTAATCACAAGAATCAAAATTTTGACTTTCATTCAACCAAAGTTTGATTCCACAGTTTCCACAGACGATGCTGCTTTGCTCGACTCTTCCTCTCTGCTGCACCAGCTGTGATAATACTGGATTAAAGGTTGGTTTTGACCTAGTCACAAAAGGAGAGCGTGTGTGTGTGTGTGTGGGTGTGTGTGTGTGTGTGGGTGTGTGTGTGTGTGTGGGTGTGTGTGTGTGTGTGGGTGTGTGTGTGTGTGTGTGTGTGTGTGTGTCAGACCTCTTGTATCAGCCCCTCCTTCCTCATCCTTGCAGCTTCATGCCTCCACAGCTTCAGACACACTCCTGCGCTGATGAAGTACAGCACCATGTTGAAGAAGAGGAAGATGATGGCTGCTGTCTGTCCAGCCTCGGTGCGACAGAACGCTCCGTTTAGTCCATTATTGAAGACCGGTATGTTGCAGAGTCCACCTCGAGTGGTGTCCCTCACGTACACCACCCCTGCTGCTATATAAAGCACTGCCAGGACCAGGTTGATGGAGCACTCTGTGAGCGGCCACCAGGAAGAGTCTAGAAGGATGGCTCTGTAGTATATGGTCATCCCCAGAACAACCATTATAACAGTCACTATCCAGGCAAGACCAGCCACCACCAGGACAAAAGGAGTCTTGGGGCCTGTGTAACTGCCCCCATATCCATATCCACCAACACCTCCACCGAGCCCCCCAAACAGTTCTGGCTTGGAGTATCCATACATATTGAACCACTCGTTGTCTTTATGAACATAAGCACAGACGCAGGCGAACACAGCTGCTCCAAGCAGCAGCTGCACACACCCCAGGATCCTCAGCAGGCCAGCCCAGGACTTCATGTAGGCGTAGCGCTGGTGATACTCCTCCACCCGCTCCTGATAGGTCAGGGCAGACAGGTTGCTGGGCACTACAGAGGCAGAGTTGAGGGCTTCGGCGCCCAGGAGCAGTCCGTCCTGCTCCTTCTGAGTGGTGTAGCTGCCCCCAGAGCCGCCGTACGGGTCCAAATAGGAGCCGGGAAGGGACGGAGATGGAGGGGCAGAGTGGGGGGGTGAGCAGGGGACCCCTACAGTGGTGTGACAGATGGCACTCTTCCTGGACGAGGGGGCAGGTGAGTGAGGGGCAGGTAGAGGTGGCGGGATGGACCAGCCCTTGCTGCCACGCTTACTGCTACTGCCACGGAAGAACTTCTTGACAGAGTCGGGGACGAAGCGGTGGACTGGCTTAAGATCCTCATTGTCATAGTTGTCCTCATCATCGCTGGGGGGGTTGAAAGATTCAAGCCCAACAGCTGGCTGTTCAGGTAGAGGGGGAGGGGGAAGGGGGTCTAAGCTGACAGCCTGCATTTTTCCATGCATAGGTGCTGGTGGCGGGGGGAGATCCTGGTCCCACCCTCCGGAGCCAACAGGGACCTGGTCATAGTATGGGATCTCCCGCACCCGGTCGAACCTGGTGACAGAAGCAACTCCTTCTGAAGACATCAGGACCTGGACTTTGTGTCCGCTTCAAAGAGAAACACAGAGAATTCAAACAGTCTCCTGTCAACAGATGGTCTACAGTTAAAGTGGGGTGATCAGACGGTGATCAGACGGTGGGGTTATGGGCCTTCTCCCATCGTAATCATACTACCTGTTTATCAGGTGTGAGGGCTAATGTGGACCGCCAGAAGATTTACATTTGCTTTCATCCCTGTAGGGAGAGTGGAGAGGAAGAATGAAGGAGGAAGAGAGGTAAAAAAAAAAAATGATTACAGAGCTGCCGATTTGTTATTCTAAACAATAAAATACTAAATCTGTTAACTAAAGTATTTTATCCAATGACGTACTAAATATTATTAAAGGCTGGGCAGGAGAAGGAAAAATTAAGGGAGTAAAAACAATGAAGGAAGAAGTGAAGAATTAAGTGGAAAGGTAAAGAGAAGGAAGACGTGAAGAAAAGAGAAAAAGTTCATTCTTATCAGTTAAGTCGGTCTTTGCCCCAGTTTTAACAGTCGGCCCCAGTACAACAGTTATCATGGTCATAATACATGAAGCCATCCAACTGGAAATGGCCCAGGTTTTCATTGCAGAAATCTGGCCAGTTTTTCCAGCTGACCCCATCGACAGCAGTACGTTGCTCTTACTCCTGCTGCTTCTCCAAACTGGGAAGCCACTGAGTCAGATCTACTGCAGGTAATACACTGACGATGGAGAAGTGCCCCACACAACCCCGCCTCAAATAACCCCAGCCATTCTTTTAACATCGGTGTTTGTTTGTAGACAGCTGTCGGTGAGGAAAGGAATGAAGTTTGATGATGAACTCACAACATTTCTTCTAGACTGATAAGTAAACAGCTGTTAATGCTAACGTTAGCTATGTAGCAACAGAAAAACTAACATTTAACACCTTTAAAAAGGTGCAGACAGCAAGAATAAAGCTGGCTTTGGTGTCTCTTCGTTGTCTTTACTTGCGCTACAAAATCCTCCTTATGATGCTTTTTCTCTGATGAACAGATATTGTCGACCAGCAGCAACATTTCTTCTCTTGACAGTTTGGCTTATTTTTTGTTTCCTTTTCAGGCAGCTTCACAGTGACAGTGCAGTGTAATGAACCAAGCTCTGCTGGGATGATTTAGTGCTGCCTTCATCCAATGATTACCATGGCCTTGCTAATTATTGTCATCCTCCAGTATTTTTTATTCATTATCTTAGTTTACCTTTAGTTCAGTTGTGTTTCAATGATACAGCTATTTCAAACAGTAGGGTTATTTTAACTGATACTTTTTTGACTGAATTTGAGAAATGCTCGTTAAAACTTCCAGTGGTTTTGTTTTTTCCAACCAGCCAATATATACTGGTTTATATACAGGTTAGTATACAGTAGCAGGAAGAAGTACTGTATGTGAACCATTGCAATGACCTGGTTTTCTGCACTGACTGGTCATAATCGTGATCTGTTCTTTATCTAAGTCAGAAATGTAGACAAACCAAGTGTTCCTTAGCTGATATCACACAAACGATCATAATCCTTCATGTCTTTGTTAGACATTCATTCACAGTGCTTGTGGAAAAAGTAAGTGAACACTTGGATTTCATAACTCTGCTGATCAGACCTGCACCGTTTTGGACCATTCTTCCTTCCTCAGCCATGGTGTGAGCTCCCTTCAGCTCAGCCCACAGCGTCTCTGCCTGATTAAGGTCCAGGCTCTGACTGGGCCACTCCAGAAGGTGAACTTTCTTTGTTTGAATTCATTTTGTAGTAGATGTACTTTGATGATGGCGAGCTGTTCAGGCCTAAAGCGGCCCCAGATCGCGATGCTCCCCCTACCGTACATCATGTTGAGATGATGTTTTCATGTTAGTATGCAGTGCTTTTTTTTACACCATACATAGTGCTGCATGTTCTTCCCAAACGATCAAAACTTAGTCTCATCATTGCATTAAACATTTTCCCAGTAGTTTTGAGAAGTGTCAGTGTGAAGGTGCTTTTTTATAAACTTAATAGTTTAGTTTTGATTCCATTAGCTGAGGGGTTCACATACTTTTTCCAGCCGATACTATGAATGATTGAATGATGATGTTTGAATGATGTTTTCCATATGGACAAGAACAATACAGTTATTTGTATGTTATTTATGAGTTAATATAGATTGTGTTTAAAGTTGTAACTTCACTACATTTAACGGTCTGCTGACCGGTATATATTGCCTTCACGTGAAATAATTTGTCCAAATGCTTTCTGAAGTTGTAAAAAGCCTGACGAGATGTTAGCATGTGTTAAAACTTTAGCACCTGAACTGTAGAGAACAGACATCTCTGCATGGAGCCACTTCCACACGAAACCAGAAGAATTGGATAAAATGAAAAATAAATGAATAATTTTTTTTTTTTTTTTTAAAAAGCACTGCAATTTATGTTGAGAATCACACACAACAAATGCTTCATGTTCATCATTAAAAGTGACACAATAATTGAATATATGGAGGCTGTCTTACCTGCTAATAATCCTCCGTCTGTTTTTCTCAGTGGAAGAGAAACACTGTCTGTCTCCCTCCTTTTGTTCTCTAACAGGTGAAACTCACCTGGCCAGTCTGACCAGTTCCCCACCTCCTCACACATCTGACTTCCCGGGTTCCAGTTCTTACAGCAACATTTTGGTACAACACTCACTGGTTTGCTCAGCCCCACCCCCTTTATGTTGTTGTCTCACCTGAGTCAGCTGATCAAGACCAGGCTCAGACACAAAGATCATCTGCTGTCCATTACATCCCAAATGACCATACTTAATTATTAATGTGTCAATAGACAACCCCACACCACAATGACATTTAAAATACTCGTTGGCTGCACTAAATCAAAGTATGTGGATCTTTACAGTTTACACTGAAATCAAATAAGAACCACAAACTCTTTTTCCACTGTTTACTGAATAAGGGTTTCCATTTGTGCTCTAATAGTGCCATCTAGTGGGCACTTGGACAAACACAACACATTACATTTTTTCCTCAATCACTTTAATGCAATTCACACATCAGAAACATCATTGTCACCACTCTTAATGCAGTTCTCAAAACAGTTCATCATTAGCATTTCTCACTGTGTTTGTACAGGTTTCCTTTGTATCCACACATAGTTCACTACTGAAGACGCTTTCTCAGTGTTGATGCATTTCTCATCAGACTCAGAATGACAGACCTCTCACTCACTCTGATACTGTCCTGCAGCATCAGTGTTTTCAATCAAATCATTATAAACATTCTTCAAATATGTATGAAAAAGCAAGGCAGGTCTCACTCTCACACACACACACACACACACACACACAGTACGTGGTGTGAATTTACTCCACTCTAATTGATGCTATGTTCTAAGTTTGACTGCGTATTTCTCTTCTACTCTATTTTCGGATGTATAGTTCCATGTTCATCATTTGTGCTTTCCTCAGTTACAGCAGTTGTATTGTGTGGATTTACTGCTTTCACACATTTTCTAAACTAGGTCTCATTTTTTCAAAACTCTACAAAACAAATCCAAACTTCACGCAGAAAAAAAAGCAAAGTTCCACAAATTTGCAAAATGAAACAACTGCTTTGAAAATATCACACTGTAAACACAGCCAAACACTTTTTTCAGTATAGAAGATTTTTCGATGAACCATAAATCTAAAGCTCTTCTGTCTTCCATTGGGCTCGTGTGACGAAGATCTCGTCACTGATTATGGGTGGCACATGGTAAAGAGGACACTCAGTAATACACACTCTACATGGTCATCCAGACACATAATTCCCCTCTGTCCTTGTGGTGAGTGCACGCACCACATCAAAACCACAATCAAAACTTTACACAAATCCCAAAGAAACACACCACATAACAGCTTAATCAATTCAGGTCAGTTTATTCATACTCATCTTGTTCAACCAGCGTCACCATCATCAGATGTTCCTCTCCTCCGCAGTCCCTGGGTCTGACACAAAGCAGCTGCAAAATGCTGCCTTAAATAGAAGCAGCAGCTTACCTGCACAGGTGTGCTGATGGCAGATGAAACAATGTTTTACTGGGTTATGGGCTATGTTACATAATTACTGTAATTGAATTTACAGTAATATATACATAGAAACACTTACAACCAACAAATGAATGAATATGTGTGTATACATGTCTTGCTGTGGTTGAGGTCACTTTGGCTAGTCGTGACAGCGTTTGTACAGATTGAAACGTGAGGAGTTTATTACGTCCACTTTTTTGTGTTTCATGTCATTTGATTGGTTTTTCTATTTGATTGATATATGTATTTCTGTTTGTATACATGTAGGCCTATGTATGTGTATGTTTTGTCTGAAATCTGTATTTCTACAATCAATAAAGATGAAAGAAAAAAAAAAGGAACGAATATCTACCAACCAATCACACGTTGACATTTACTTCCTTATGTTAGGACTTGTCAAGCTGTGATTGGTTGCAGGCAGCAGTAACGTTTGAAAGTGTACTGTATTTGTGTTGTACCGGTCATGAGAACAGAGAGATAAAATGGAGGTAGCTGCTGTGCTCCATATGTTTGTCAGGTCGCTGCTGTTTCTGCTGCTGTGGTCAAACTGTGAAGGGAGAGAGTCGGAGCTCAACTACGTGACGTGCGGCTCGCTGGTCAAGCTGCTCAACACCAGACACAACGTCCGCCTGCACTCCCACGATGTCAAATACGGCTCAGGTAACTTCCCTCAGACAGCCCGTGGATCTACAGCTGCTTCTATCCAGACGTCTGTAGATTGTTATATAAGAACTGCGTGTAAAAATTTATATTTAAAAAAATAGACAATTCAAAGTGAAGCTGCCCTGCTCATCTGCGTACACACCGGAATAAACAGGGAGTCCAGGAGGGTGTAGGCTTAACGTGATGGAGCAGCGCGGTGGCAGGTGAACGAATGATATAACTTGAAATTTAAACGACATGGATATTCTTCAGCATTATCCTGCGCCGAAATTCAGAAGAAATTGTATGTATTTGTGAAATGTATTGAGTCATTTGTTGAGAGGTTTTATTTTTGCCTGGCAAACAGAAAACGGTGAAATTGTCATTTCTATAAATATAGTCTGGCATCACGTTTTCCCGATGCGTGATAGCAACTTAGTAACCATTTAAAATTTGAGTCCAGAGAACCAAGTGTGTCATCTTTACGCATGAGCACATTTTAACACATACTTTCTCCATATTTCCGCCTCTGACATTGATTGAAATAAATTTTATGTTTTGTTTCCTCAGTGTTTGAAGTAAAGCCCGTTATAAAAATTAAAGTTTTTTCTCAATCGCTTTGATGCAATTCACTCATGAGAAACAGCTTTCTCACTTCTCTTAAATGCAGATCTCAGAACAGTTCATCATTTCCCCACACACATTAACATTTCTTGTTGTATTTGTACAAGCTTCCTTTGTATCAACCCACAGATACAGTTTTTTTTTCAACTGCTTTCACACATTTTCAAAACTAGGTCTCATTTTGTCAAAACTCTTCACACAAATCCATAAATTGCACACAAAATACAAAGTGCCACAAATCTGAAAATATCATACTGTAAAAGCATCTAAAAATCAAGTATTTGCATCAAATGCCAAACAATTTTTTCAGTATAGTAATTTATTTTTTTTTGGATACACCATGCTCTAAATCTCAAGCTCTTCTGTTTTCCATAGGCTTGTATATCGTTTAGATACAGTGTTTTAAAGTGACAGGACAGTGATCTGTTGAGAGGTTAGAATATACACAGTGCAAGAAATACCAATGCCATGCAACTGAAAATAGTTAGTGGTAACTGCAGTACAGTGCTTTGCCTGAGCATGTTTTACTGTGTATTTTTGCAGTTCTCAGTTCCTCTATTTCTAAGGTCAGTCAGGTTTTTTATAAAAGGGACATCAAAACATTTGGAGTCTAAGTCCTGAAGCTTTCAGTTACGGAACCACCGGCAGGTAAACTGAGGTTTAGGAAGCCCGGAGTATAACACACCACAGGGGGTCGTAGGCGCCCTTCAGCACCCCTCGTTGCCTACTCAAGCAGAGGATGGTCCAGTGGGCTGGAGAAGCAGAACTGTGGACAATTATTCAACGACACATGAATCTTTCCACATCCGCTAACGCCTACTAAGATGGTGATAAGAGGAGTGTACATGTACTCGAGGGCCTGAAAGTGACACAGGAAAAGTCTGAATTCGCATCAGTCCTCGGTGCCTCTGAGCTACACAGGAAGAAGAGCTAACGTGTCACTGGGTCTGATGTCCGATGGCCGCAGTGAAGGATGCCTCACACAAACAAGGTGGAGATAAATTTTGAATGTTAAATAATCAGGTGCACCAACGGCACCATGAGGTTTTGAATCTAGTTCTCAAATACGATTTGTGAATCGAGTTGCTTTAGCCAGCATCCAGTCGATCAGACAGCAACCCTGAAGACGGCTTCCGTTGGTCTTTTGGTCGCTGCTTGGTCTGTTTCGTTCAAAGGATGGAAAATCGGAAATTATTTTTGGCAGATGATGTTGATTTCAGTTGGAATGGTCGGCGTTTTCAATTTTCAGTTTTACGAACGAAATTTAAAATGTTGATGAATGTGATTTCTTTCTCGGTCTTGTACCGAACAAACCGTCCTTTACAATCTGGAGGATATGATCTGTGGCCGGGGGCATCTTCTGGTAGCATCACGAATGCTTATGGTGCTAACAGTGCACAACAATGTGACACATTTTACCTTTCATCCAAAAGAAAAAAAAACAACTGGCAGTTGTTCTCCCTGTGATTTGGATATTGCACTTAGCTGTATTGATCTCAACATATATTTCAATCAATTGTGCACCTTTGGCTGTACAATTGAATTCTCAAGCAGGCAGAGCGTTAAAATAAAAGTATAAAAGTAAAAACCTTCACTTTTACTCCTTGTTGGCAAATTTAACAAACTTAACTATTTATCAGATGTATCATCAGAGGCTGCAGAGGACTCTCAGTGGAGAATTCCCTTGGCTTTTTGTGGAGGAGCCATCCCTGCTGCACGCTATTACCAATACTCTATTTTCCATATCAATTTCCATACTTGGCACTATGGAGAAATACAAACAAAGCTTAATTACCACATGGGCAAAGTGTCAATACCAGGGGCCCAGATCATCAGTGGCCCCCCAAGAAGTGAGAACGAATAATGAAGCACCCCTATGAACCTGCGAGGCTGTCATCATCCCCAAGACACAGCTGTGGACTGTCCAGTGCCGGATGCCTCCAAACAAGCAGGGCAAGGGCATCCCACTAATGCTCCTAACTCAGCCCGATGTCTGCAGGGACAGAGTGAACGAAATAGAATCTGCAAACTAGCTGAATCAAACTGTCAGCCTACTTCACCGTTGTCAATAAACACATAACCGAAAAGAACAAACACACATCAGATTCTTCTTAGATCAGAGTCGTACAACAGTTTCCTGTAGCCATTAAAGACCGGGCCGCCATCAGAATAGATCCAGCATAAACTGGAAGCATACATGCAGCAGAATGCGTTTTTAACGGTTCAGCGTCTATGCTTCATCTAACCTTCAGCAACTGACAATAGCAAACTTCTTTCCCGTTATGGAGCTCAACTGAGAATCTTGTCATCAACTGTGTGTGTGTGGTGTGTGTGTGGTGGTGTGTAGGCCAGTGGACAGCAGTCTGTAACTGAGTGGAAAACGCAGACGATGCCAACAGTTACTGGCAGATGCCGTGGAAAGCCCAACCGTCCATGTCAGCGCGGAGCATCATCAAATGTTGGTCAGGCCATCCGCATCACAACACAATGAAGACTGGCCCAAACCTGCCACACACACCACTTCAGCTCACCCCTGTCTAAACAACCAGTCAGGCAGTGGCACACAACACTCACTCGTTTGAGGGATGTGACAGGCTTGCTTGTAGGGATACATTCACGGTAGCAAGAATAACCACTCTACCAGATGTTTTTCTTTTTTCTTCTCTGTGTCTCTGCAGGAGGTCTAGCCGCCTTCGAGAGAACGGCGAGGGTTGATGACCTGGTATGTGTGGAAGTGCAGTGGTGACGGCGTCCACTGGGAGCGCGAACGAAACCGTGCGCTTCCAAACACGTGGGCACTGGATCGTCTTCCTGAGGCGTGACGGGCGAACAGTACGGCCACTCCATCGCGGCCAGCGGGAGGTGCCACGTGCATGACTCCTTCCAACCAGCACAACTGGTGGCGCGCATGGAGGGCGTCTTCATTCAGCCCAGCCAGGAGCTGCTGCGCCCATGATGAGCTTCTGACATCATCCCGGGCTCGTTCCTGCACATTTGAAGCTTCTCAGGGTGTCCGAGAAGGGAGATATATAATATACCACACACATACACGTATATCTGTGTGTATGTGTGTGTGTGTTTACAGATGTTTAATAATAACCCGTTTAACCGTTTCCGACAATACGAATTTGACTGATTACTACTGTCAGTTATAACAATTTTTAAAAAATGTTGTGTGTGTGTGTGTGTGTTGTTGTATGAGGATGATCGCTCATGCGGAACTAATCCTCTCGACTGGTTGGGCAAGCGAATTCAGATGTGCTCTCTGAGGCTTGCCGCTCTAGGCAGGTGCTAATCTGTGGCATTCCTGGGACATCGGTACATCCGGTCTCACAGTTAACAGACTGACAGCAAATGAACCCCACAGCATGTCCACATGTTGCTATTTCTTGAACAAACACCAGTAAGAAAGCTGTCCGCCATGCTGAGGACGGAGGTAAGACCCTGCCCTGTTTCTTTTTATTTTGAGCTCTGAAGATGCAACTACCAGTTTTTTTGTTTTTTTGGGGGGTGGGGTGGTGGGAGGGGGGGTTCCTTACAGTGCTCTCAGAGCTCTTAAACTGTTTATACATCAGCGAAAGTCTGGCTGTGATTTGCTATTTTAAGTTATGAATATATTTTCCCTCACTATTAACCGGGTTTCTGCACACTAGTAAAATGACCCCTTCTTATGAAGAAAAAACATTTGTATTGGTAATTTTTTTTAATGGGTCACAGACACTCGTCCATTCTAAATGATACATTTTGAGCTTGTCGGTTAACGGTTAATGGTTGTTTTAAGGGCATGTCGGCTATCGGTCAGAAAAAAAATTCAAATGAGGCTCCCTAAATGTGTGTACTTTGTATAGAATACATTGTAAGGGCAGGTTGATTAGACCTTTGGAGTGAGGACATGGTTGGTTGCGTTTGAGGGTTTAAGACTTGGTTTTAGGGTTCGGGTAGAATTCAGGTTTACAGTGTATGAAATCCTTGAATTCATTTCCCTCTATCATCTACACTCAATATCCCATAATGACAAAGTGACTGGAATTTTAGAAATTTTTGGCAAATTTTATTAAATAAGGAAATAAAACTAAATACATCTTTCAGCCCTTCCACCTACACATGACGTGACGCTTTAACTGGACAAGTTATGTTTGACATCTTTCTTCTCAGCAGTTCCTCAGGAGGCTTTCCAGATCAGTGGAGCGCTGCATGTTCTGTGGTGTCAATGTAAGTCATTCCATTTTTTTCTTTTTCATAAATTGCAATGTATGATATTGTTATTGTCAGCATACTGTATGGTCTAGTCACAACGTGTGCAGAGCGTTGCTTTTCCCTGTGAAATCATTGTTTACATCACTGTCACATATCTGTCGAGCAAGATGTAACCTTTAGACAGACAAAGTCAGTTC